TCGCAGTTACCCTTGAACATGAAGCGTGCGCACTTCTAATTCTCATCACTAGCAAAATGAAGCTCTCAGTTCCAGCCCTAGTGTTAGGAAGATCAAATAGCAGAAAAATGTATTACAAAATTCCACTGGCTAAACAAATTTTTTCCAAGATTATGAAGGATTTATTTGATAAATAATTCTAATAACAAACCAGCAAATACTACTACTTCTGGAGAATTCTTTCTATCTGTTCAGTGACAGCAAGCTCCATTTATCTTTTACATTTATCTGTATTCTCTTGGAAGCTAAAAATAATGGTGCCTGTAGGAATTGTAGCCTACCTAGTTTATGAAAGATGACGTGAGGCACTTCTGTTCTGCACGTTTTATTTTTACACTGCTTAACACTGCTATTATTCCTGAGACTGATTTATCAGTACCCTGGGGTACTCCTAACCCCTTTTGATGTTATTTCTACTGGAAACAGTTGACAAAAGCAGATCTCCCCTTGAGGATTGCACAGTTTTAGTGTTTGTTTCAACTTTCAGCCATTTGCTCAACCTATTAAGCGCTTCTTCAAAGGCATAAAAGAGCAACCCATCACCTTGAATGCTACAGAAAAGAAAAAAATGCATAAAGGCTGCCAAGTCACACTAACTCTGCTGTAGATAAGCAGAATACATTGGAAGGCATTGCACTACATGGAATACTGCCTATGGATTTCGCATAAGCCTGTAAGGGTATTTGGCTCTGCAGTTGGTCTGAGCTGCATGAAAATATTCATAGCAAATATAAACTACTATGCAAACAGAAAGCATGCCTAATGTAAATTTGAGAATAAAAATTGGCAATAGATGTAAACATTGCCTCCACTTTGTATTTTTTCTATATACCACGGAGTACACTACTGCTTTAATTCGATTTTATGAGCTCTGCAAACCTTGCTAAAACCATACAAAAGCCATGCCAAGAATCTTGGAGCTTAATTGCTCTGCTTGTGGTGGACTAACTGTCCATGATAAATGGACAGAAACAACTAGAGAAATTGTATATCTTGCTGCAAACAATATTTAAGAAATACATAAACAGTACCTGGTTGTCATCTTTTCTGATACAAATTTTGTTGGCAAAACAAAAAACTTATTTTGAAGACATTGTGAGGTTTCTGTTTTTCATTTTACTGTAGTGAAGGTAATACATAATAATAGTTAATATACCCAATACAGTTCTTCCGCTTTTGCACCTGAATGCTAGAGAATGACAACAGTAGGTTTCAGAAAATGCTACGAACTTCAGAGTGTCCTGGATGCTACTTTTCAACTGCATAGAAGTATTAGAAAGTAATCACCAGCACAACTACACATAGTCACTTAAATTTTTAACTAAAGTAAAAAGGTTATGGGTATTTGTGCAACTTATGCAAGTTATATATAAATATTCCAAAAACCACTAAGCCAAAGAACTGAAAATTCAAAATACAGCAGGTTTCATAAATAGCCCAAGAACCTACAATGACCTTTGTGCAGCACTGATAAATTATTTCATTGTTTGATCTCTAGCTCTTTGCAAAATTTTCTCATCTTTGACCATCCTTGCAACAGAAAGAAAACCCAGAAAAACAGAGATTGAAATTAAACTAATTTCTTTCACAGCTTTAATTGGAAAATAATTTAACTCATCTAAACATAAAGGTGAAGTTTAGAAACTCACAAGATTTGCATATAAAATAAAACCAAAAGATAATATGGTCGTCTCAGTACCTCTGTTCTTGCTATCACCTACAAATGTTTAATATTACACAAAACTGTATAATAGGCTTGTGGCTTTAAAAAAATATGAAGCCTCTGAAAGATAATCAACATTTAATGCCTGGATACACTCTCAAAAATTTAGTTACCCTTGAACACACGCACTTCTCACCACTAGCCAAATGAAACTCTCATTTCCAATTCTAGGAAGATGGAAATGTGTATCAATATTTTGACATGGTAAGACAGAAAATTTTCTTCTATTTTACTTCCTGTAACATGGCCTAGAGAAAGTGTTTTTAGAATTTTATTCTTTTTTTAATAGAGAGGAGAGCTTAAGAAAAACACAGTAAGTTGTCAGGAACAGATGAATTTTCCTGCTGTCTAGAAATACTTAAAGTACTTGAGAAGCCAGTGGACACAGGTCTTGGACATAGATATTCTTTATCCCACAAAGCTCAGTTTTTAGTTCAGCAATTTTACCCCTTCATTGTACTCACAGTTTTTGTTGACCTGTTTTGATGCTTCCCAACCCCTGCACATGGAATATTATTACATGAATAATCCTTTTGCATACCATCTTACCACTAGGCTAAGAAGTGTACTCTCATTGCAGACCTAGTTTCTGCAATGAGCCTTTATGTTTTCAGCTTTAATATTATCCTAAGCTGGCTGTGATGAACAGCCAAGGCCACCTATCACAGCACTGTGTAGGATATCTGTCAGTCATTGCCATTTGGCTTGGAATCAGGATCAGCCACTGTACCTCTTTCATTTAGCAGGACATATGCATACCAGGGCTCTGCACTGCAGTAAGGCAAACCATTCCTTTTGCCCAATGATTTGTTCGGAGGCACAGGAGAACTAGCCACTTTTAAGTAGTTTAGTCTGCATCCTTGCTGCAAAATGCTGAGGTACCAATTTGGCCTTTAACCTGTACCTAGAACCCAGTTCTGTAAATATACCACAGAAGACAGTGCCAAAATAATCTCTTTCTAGAAGACACTTTATAAGAATCAATTCTGAGTTCAAGCATTGCTTGCAACTTTAATTTGGACCAACAACTACTTTACAATTTTCTTTGGTATGCATTTTAATGCAAGGAACGGTGCTACCTGCACTAAGACAACATCAAGGTACAAGAGTTTAATGTTAGTTAACCAAGAAAGAGAGAAGTAATTGAAATAATATTGCCTACTTACTTCATTTTGTGCAGTTCTGTAGTACAAAAGACCTGCTTATGAGTAAGAGATTAGGAGGTGTCCAGAAGAATGGAGGTCACCCACAAAATCTTATGAACTATTCCATAAGGCAGAAGAGATATCACCCTCATCTTCATTTCACTGCATCACCTGAGGAACAAGAGAAACCTACACCTATAGCTCTAGGAAGTATAAGAAGTCAAATTCTGAATACATAAACACGAGTCCATTTACAACCTTTAAAACTTCAAGAAGGTTGCTAGATTACTCTCCTGCACTCTTGGGATCACTGATTTCACTGCTGCCTGCCAAACAATTAATTCCACAGCCAACAAGACATACTGAGTCAGAATATTTTCCTGACTTTATGGAGACTGAAAGGGATAAAGACAGCCTACAGAGCAGTTGTATGATACCTGCCATCTATTCCTCTTATGTCACAGGATTCTGAGATCCTTCTATGATCAAATGAAATCTGTCAGCCATCCAGAAAACAAAACCAAACTTTCATTATATAAAAAGTTTCTCTATGCTCCATAATGGAAGACAAACCTATTTATGAACAACTCAATCTCCCAGATTGTGTGCTGAGCTAGAAATCTACTGAAACTTAGGTCTCCCAAAGTTATTTGATGCCTTAAAATAATGAGAATTGATATGCTTTTGTGACATGTCAACAAGAATATCACTAAACTTCACTAACACATTTTTGAAAACCAATAGTTAGCTCCAGGAGCTGTTCAGCTAAGCAAATCCAGAAAAGAGTCTTATCTCTTTCTTCTCTTTAGGATTTTGCCACAAAATGGAGGAAAAATTACAACTTCATGAACATGAGTGAATAGGCCTGTACTGAATATATCAATTCAGGAAAATACCAACATAACCATTTCAAATTTTATAGAAATGAAGCCTAACTAAGTATATTTATGGCTGATATTCTTCCCTCTTACTCTTGGGAAAAGGTGAAAGCTGGGCTCAGAACGGAAACTTCATATTATCCTTAATTACAGAGAGGTTAATGATGCTGCATACTTTACTGGGGACAAGCTATCTAAACTAATTCAGCATGTCCTGCTTGCAAGGTAGTCTCTGTATGTCAGTGCTGTAAATGCTGTGTATATGGGAAGCGATGGACAACGTACTCTTCTCTGCACTGCCTAATTATCTTTTAATCTCTAAGAGTCATTTTCTTGAGCCAAATAATGTCAGCAACCAACCAGCTGTTATCAATGCAGTAGCATGCAAGCACAACACAATATAATTATGCCAGCTCTGTGATAGAACCAGAACAACAACCTATTATTTTTAACAGGGAGTTTACTTCCAGGAACCCAGCTTTTCTTCCCCCAAAAGATATCTGCTACCAGATTCAACCATGCTTCCCGCTATCCTGTAAAATTTTCCTAAATTCCTTCTAATGCAAAATCCAGACTAATCAATAGCAGTAGAGTATATAACATGGTGTTATTAGTTTTGAATTCCACCCCAAAACATCTAATCAGGAGATAAATGTGTTTCAGGTAATTCTTCACAGCAATGGTAGCTGTCTTTCTTGGGCAATTAGTTTTTAATCCACGCATTTGCAAGTAACAGTGTTCTTGAATGTATGTGCCCACAGACCATACGATAAGATGGATTACAGTATTTAAAACTGCAGCAAACAAGAAGATGAGAACAGATTCACTTTACTTTGATTTATAAAGCAAACACCCAAAAGTTCCTTTCTGCAGGAAGAGTTTGTCCCCCTCTAGATTCAGGCTTTCTTTCATTGGCTCTTGAATACGGATTAGTATCAAAGGTCTACACACGCTACTATCTTGACCACCTGCGGTTGTAGGAATTTAAGCAGTTATATCTCCATATGCTACTCAATTAAGGTACAGAAATATAAATTGTAATCATGCCAGCAAAATAAAAAAGACACACCTCAAAACGTGGCTCATACTCCACCATGATACTAGGGAAAACAAATGCTTAGTAGGAAAAACAGCAGAGGAAAAAAGCTCCTTGAAATTGATGAGTAGTCTGAAGCACCAAGACTGTGCATCTCTGACAATTTTTGTTGTACTTACCTAATATCTGTGCATGTTATACATGTGATACAGCGACTGTTTGTTGTAACGAGGTTCAAAGACACAGATGTTTCACTGTCACTGGTAGGGTGTGCTCCACATTTAAAGTAAAACTCCTGAAATATTGAAGGAGAGATAAAGAGAAGATCACATACCTGCTGCTCATGTCCTTTCTTTATCTTAAGCTAACTGACATATGAGACAACAGACAAATTACCACTGCCAACGGAAAAAGGAGGACAATCATTAGGAAAGGCTTACAAGGAATTCTTTGCAAAAGTACCAGTCTAGGTGAGTATATTGTTCAGTGATTTCCTTAGCAAAGATCTACTTGTGTACTAATTTGGTATCAGTGTGGCACATTCTATGATTTTCTGGATTTATAGAAAGCAAATTTAGTCAAGACCAGAATACTAAGCATTGTCACTAAATGTAAACATTGCCACACTTTCCTTGTTACAGATGTTACCACTTTTTGAACTGTAAATCACAGAATTTTAGCTGTAAGTTAGTAATGTCCGGCTTTGCTTTTGTGATGTTGGAAATCTAAACAATTTTTACCCTTATATTCAAGGGAACTCACATTACATTGCAATTACATATTATACTGTGTTTGAATTAAGTTGCTTGAGTCCATAGTTCTTTATATAGCCTCTTAAGACTGTTCCATTAGCATAATGCTTTCTATACAACTGCATGTTTTGTTCTCTTTTCCACTGCACCCCAGGGAAAGCCATACCAAACATGCTGTGCTTTGATAAGCTTTTGTTATAAGAGATTGTTTTAAATGTCCAAATCACTTTATGCATATGTAAATACTGGCAGTCTGAAGACATGTGCTTTGCAATAGGAGCCACAGATTAAACTCTGCAGTCCTTATTCCTATAAGACTTCTTTTTCCAGTATCAAATTGTGGAGGTTTGAAACAAAAACTTTAAGCGCAGAATAAATGAAGCGTGAATTGGAAGGTAAGGGTATAAAAGCATCAGAAGAAATGACAAGAAAGTGGCATAAATTTCTGACAGGTGTTGATGGCATCAAGATATTAAGATTGCAGATGATTCTCAGGACAACCAAAACGGGGGAGGGAAGGAAGAGGAAGGACAAAGGGAAATAATAAAGTGCAGCAAAGGAGAAAGACACAGTGACAGTGAATAAAATCAGCAGCATTTCCAAGTGACTCACAGAGGTGGGACAGGAAGAAGGGAAAAAATTACCATTACTGTCAACTTCTTCAGGGTGCAAAAGTCACATTCAAAACTCAGCATTAACAACCCAAAAGCTGTACAAAACCATTTGCTTGGCAGTGTTTCCCAGCACCACTCTGAGTTCCTAGCTAAACTATCTGGACACATATTTTGGTGCTTGGTAGTATACGAAAGCAAGAGAATGAGTGTGGCTGAAAGAAATCAGTTTTAATACAAAAATTACTTTCCCTTCTATACAGACTTGCACTGAGATTTCATGACAATACGGTATTAAAATGAGTCCATCGCCTTGAGCTTCACAGTAGGAAGTCCTTCATCTGCCAAACAGCTGTCAACCACTGTTTCTTCTCAGTGATGACCATTTAGAGATATTCTGCATTTTCACATAAGACACATACAGTACTATGCAGTAATACCTCTAAGGTGAAAACTGGTAACTGGGATATAAGAAGTGTATTAATACAACTTTCCTCTTAGGTTAAGTCAACCCTGCTTCTCAGCACCAAAATATACATTTGACACAAAATATTCAAACTCCACTATAAGTTAAGGACTCACTGTCTGAGGCATGTGCGGTAGCAGTTTAAGAGAACTAAGGGGTCAGAGTATAGTTTAAAGGCAAATAACTAAAGCGTCTTTCTGTCTGGTTTCCTAACATCAGGAACTAGCCCCAAACAAGAAAACACTCTTGAACATACCCTTATGCAAGACTTTAGACTTTCTATGGTTTTTCTTTTGTTCAAGACCCAGTTACAGACACTTTAAACATCAGCTCAACTTGAAGCATTTCAGCAGTCAAGAATGAGTCAGTGGAACTACACCTTCACCCAGAGTACCTGAAAACTTTACAAAAATCTGTAACTTTATTTTCAACCTTTAAAAATATATCCAGTAATCCTTATATTATTTAATAATGGGTTTTGGAGCTCGGGTTTTCTTTGCCTTTTAGTGTGATTTTACTTTTGATTTAACTAAATGGGAAGAAGCATTTATTTCAATGGAGAAGTCTTGGAAATATCTCCTTGCTTCAGTATTACTTCTGCATACAACTAAGGATATTGACAACTCACTATTTCAGAACAGAGAAACTATGAGCAAGGAAGCATACAAAAGAAAAATATATTTCTTTAAAATTAGTTATCCACTATAATAAAACTTCCTTTGGGTCAAAAGCAAAGAGAATAATAGAGGAACTGAGTTATAAAACACTACAAACAGCTTTAGACTTTTCGCTATAAAGCGCCTGTTTATTGATTCTAATTGGTTTTGATAATACCTAACAGTGGCTTCAAGTTTCTCATCATGAAGCCTGTTTAATGAAGATGAAAGGGAAATAAAGAAATACATTTCTTATTCCACACTCAAAGATATACGGGATATTGCCCAAAACTCAGAAGGGAAGGAGGAAAAAAAGGAGGAAATTCAAGATTCTTGTGCTACAATCCCAAAATATTTTTTCTGTAGTGTTAGGAAAATTACTTCTCTATACTTCTGTTTATCAGGCTGGAAACTGCTTTAAGAAAATTCCCCTATTAATTATATTTACAATGTGTTTTGGTGTTGTTGAATGGGGGACATTATAGAATTTGAAAATACTATTTTTATTATTTATATTAATTTGAAAATACTATAACAACAGAAAAACATTGTCTTCTCCAAAATTATTCACTGAACTCCCTGCTTGAATAAGCTGCAATTAAAGAAATAGCAAATTTTAATATTGAATGCAAACAGAACAGAGAGTTTGTTAAAATTATAGGGAAAAGAAAATCCCTGAACACTATGGCAGGTATTTGCTCAGAAGAAATCTTTGAGATTAAAGAATAAAAAAAGGTCATTTTTAACAAATGTGTTGAGACTAGCAGTACAGTAAAACTAACTAACTTATAAAATGATACCCTTTCTGTTTGCAAGGGTGATCATCCCACAAAATGTGCAGTTCTGTAATAGCAACACAACATTCTTCATCTGCAGGCCTGAGACATCAGTGCTGTGATGGGAATTCAGAAATACAGGGAGAGACCGGAATCTGAAAAACTCCTTATGCCGAGCGCCTGACAGTTCTGAAATAACATGGGCTGCTTTTCCACTTTTTTATTTATTTAAATCATAGTAATAAACATTCTGAATGTTCAAAGGCTTCTAAGAAAGTCCTGAACTCAATTAAGTTTCCAGTTGCAAATAAAGATTTATGTGGCCTGGTTTTACACATTATGTAAATGAAAAATCCACAAGTATTTTTGATACATCTACCACATTTCCCAGAGACTTAACATACTTCTTGTAATGCAAACACAACTTTTTTTATGGCAAGGCATATACATATGAAGTTTTAAAGAAATATAACCCATCAGCACAAGTTGGGTTATCCAACTTCTTTCAGCAATAGATTTGCTGAAAAATATGTAAGGGGGAGAAGAGTTTTGTCACTTCTCACTCTTCAGCCTTGCATGTCAACAGGCATGTAAGTACACCTATTCTTTTATTTAGTCTTTCACCCAGTGTATGATAGCCTAAGGAGGAAAATGTGCTGGATCATTTAATCCAAGTCATTTATGTTCCAAGGTTAATCTCCAAACAGGTAGAGAGACCCTGGAGGCAGCCAATTTAAGGCTAACCTTCCAATTTTACCGCAGTCAGTCATACAAGCAGTTGTCACTTAAGCTTGACATTAACATTTCTCTCTATACTTGTCTTCTATTATGCTATTTGAGACAATACCAGAATTTTAACTTTATAGTAAAAGGCCTTTACAGGGTCATTATACCAAACATAAAAGGGACGGTGTCCTGGGTTCAGCAGTAGCAGTCATTTTTCTCTTTCTTGGTAGCTGGTGCAGTGCAGTGTTTTGACTTTTGGCCTGGGAACAGAACTGATAACAAGGATGTTTTGGTTTGGCCAAGGACTTTGTGAGCCTCCTGCTCTACCAGGGAGGAGGGGAAGCCGGGAGGAAGCAGAGACAGGACACCTGACCCAAACTGACCAAAGAGGTATTCCATACCACAGCACCTCATGCCCAGGATGCAACTGGGAGTTACCCAGAAGGGCTGGGAGTCTGCAGGGTTGGAGGAGGTATGGGTCGGTGCTTGGTTGGGCTTGGGGGGGGGGGTGAGTTATCGGTTGGCTGGTGGTGAGGTGTTGTATTCTCTTCCCTTGTTATTTCCTTTATCATTATTATTATTGGTGGTAGCAGCAGTGATTTGTGTTATACCTTAGTTACTAAACTGCTCTTATCTCAACCCATGGGAGTTGCATTCTTTTTGACTCTCCTTTCCGTCCCTCCGGGAGCAGGGGTAGGGCAAGAAGTGGGGGGGAGTGAGTGAACAAATTGCCTGACTGGGTTTAAACCATGACAGGCGGGCAAAAACTCATGCAGTTTATGTCACTATCTGACCACTTCTGTAATATTTAAAAACAGAACAAACCACATTATTCCTCCTTTCTGCACTTGTGTTCTCTCATTTGGTACAAAAATTTCTGATAAATGCATGTGTGGGGAGATTGAGTTCAGTATTTCTGTACCACAATGAGTAAGGATATCAAGAAATTACTGCAAAAGCCAAGACAAAATTTATTGCTTTTCTTAGTTCGGAAAGCAAGTAGTTTTATGGTCACCTTCTACTGCAGTAAATACCTTTAGATCACTTTCTTGCCTAAAGGCATAGGTCCCATGAAATTGTGAACATTCTATTAAACACTACAAATGTCTTCCTTTTGGCAGTGTACCTGACAGATTGCTGTTCAGAGAAGGGAGCAGGCATTGGTCTTCCATACTTTGTCATATTCTTCACTCCTGTTATCACTTTTGTGTCATATAGCATCATAAAATGTGCAAGGGGAAAGAACAGGTTCAAAAATATATGGCCAGTCTTAGCTACTTTTTATGAAACTCAAGAAGAAAATGCTCA